CTCCCAGGCAGTGTTTCACAGATCCGAGATCTTTAATGTCGAAGCGACTGGAGAGTACTTGTCCTAATTCTGCAATCGACTTCGGATCCTTTGAAGCGACGAGGAGATCGTCGACGTAGACAGCGATCAGGATGGTATCTTCCCCTTGCCCTTTGTAATATAGGCACGGGTCGCCGTTGGATGCCGTAGCTCCGAAACTGAGTAAGACTTCGCGGAGCTTTTCGTGCCATCGTCTTCCGGCCTGACGTAGCCCATAAATAGACTTTTTGAGAAGACACACTTTGTCGCCTTGAATCAGCTTGTTCAGCATGTTCTCCGCCTTCATTTTAATTGCGTGATCTCCTTCGGTCTTGATTATAGCATTTAAGATGTTTTTTAGTTGATTCGGAGGTTCCATCAAAATCTTCTCCTCTAGTTCTCCGTTGAGATAGGCGGTGGTTACATCAAATTGTTTTATGGTCATCTTGTAATTTGCGGCCAAAGCTGAAATCAAACGGATAGAACTTAGACGGGCAACGGGTGCGAAGGTATCCGTAAAATGGATTCCCGGTCTCTGCGCAAATCCTTGCGCTACAAGCCGAGCCTTTCTCCGCTCCAAGTGACCGTCGGGTCCGAATTTGTTACGCAAGACCATTCTGCTTCCTATAATTTGAGCGCCCTCCGGACGATTGACCAGCTCCCAAGTGTCGTTTTTGATGATCGATTGAATCTCTTGTGACATGGCCTCGAACCACTGTTCTGAGTCGGCACCCGCTAGCGCGTGCCGTATTGGTACTTCGGAGACCAGTGCGCTTTCCATCAAATCCAGATCAGCGTGCTGCACCACCTCGTTGTATGCTTTTCTTGGCCGACCGCGCTGTCCGGTTCTGACGATCCTCGGTCTTCCCGGTCCTCGTCTCATGGCTGGCAGTTCTGCGTTGGGAATATTCTCGTCTATGTCAGGCGGATCTTCGTCGTCCTCCGCTGGTTCTCCATTCTCGTTGATATTATCAATATGAGGGTCCAGCGTCACTTCGACGTAATCCTGTCCGAGTTCGTTCTTGTCGGCGGGTTGATTCGAGTCGCAATCTTCCGGTAGGAATTCTTGAAATTCGCCGGCTTCTGAACGAGACGTGTTGCAGAACTTGACGTCTCTAGATATTACAACCGTTTTCTCCTGTGGCAGCCAGACTCTGTAGCCCTTGGATTCTTCAGAGAAGCCTACTAGGATGCCCTCTTTGCCGCGAGGTTCCAGCTTCGATTTGTCGGGTCTAGTGTCAAGGCAGAATACGCGGTTACCGAAATCGCGAAGATGGCCGACGTCGGGAATTTTTCCGGTCCAAATTTCGTGAGGGGTTTTGCCGTTGAGACTCTTCGTCGGACAACGGTTTCTAATATAATTCGCCGCGTTTACCGCCTCGGCCCAAAAACGGGGTGGTAGACCCGCCTGAATAAGGAGACATCGCGCTGTGTCGAGTAAGGTACGATTCTTACGTTCCGCGACGCCGTTTTGCTGCGGATTGTAAGCCACGGAGAAACGTCTCGCGATCCCGCGTGATTTCAGAAAATCTTCGAGTTTATTGCTCCGATATTCCCCGCCGTTATCGGTTTGTAGGCATTTAATTTTTCGGTTCCTTTGATTTTCGACGAGAGCGATGTATTCCATTGTTGCCTTGAACACTTCGTCTTTTGTCTTAAGAAAACGTACTTCGCACCAGCGCGAATGGTCGTCAATAAACTCGACATAATATTTCGCTCCGCCGATGGATGCGACGCGCATGGGGCCGCACACGTCCGAATGAATTAAGTCGAGTAGTTCTGATTCGCGCGTTGATTTCTTAGGAAAGGGGCTTCGACACATTTTGGATTTTGCGCACACATCGCATTCGACGTCGTCTCCTAGGTCCTTTCGGGTTATGCCGTGTATGGTTCCGTTACGCTCGGCTTCACGAAGATCTGATGCGTTGAGGTGTCCGAGACGTCGGTGCCACGAGACGTTCGATTTAGATGTAGCCGCTAGAGATACCTCCTCTTCGGGTTTAGCACGCGCGGGTCTCGACCCCTCGCGCACGAAGTACAGTCCGTCGATTTTGTCCGCGACGATTTTTAGTTTTCCGTCGCGATCTAGAACGGTGGCGCTGCTCTTGTCGAACACGACCTTGAAACCTCGTTCTGTAATCTTTCCCACAGACAAAAGATTTGTGCGCAAATCGGGGACGTACAAGACGTTTTTCAACGATACGTCCGCGGTGGTACCGAACACGTCCGCCTTTAAACTCGCGATGCCCTCGGCGACTATTTGAGTGGACTCGTTATTTGCGAGGTTAAGTTTTCCGCGTTTCGAAGGATCGATGCTCGAAAAAGACGCGGAATCGTTACACAGATGCGAAGTAGCACCGCTGTCCAAACACCACTTTTGCTCGCGTCCCGCGGATCTAACGAGTAATGCCTGGCTCACGCATAATGATACCTGATCGCTCGTTTTGGTAGGTTCGTTGCTTGCGACGCTCTTGTTGCGGCACTCCAGGGATTTATGTCCGAACATCTTGCACTTATTGCATCGTAACCTCTTTTTCCTCTTAGATTGTGCTTTGTCGTTTCCGGAGCTGTCGGATTTCGCACTTTGTTGATTCTTCGAAAACGGATTCTTTTTGTTAATGTACATTGCACTAGACGCGGAACGTTCGTTACGATGAGCATCGTGCTCCTCGACGATTTTTATGCGGAGGGACTCGGGGTCGGGTAACTCGTCGCGCGACTCGATCGCGACACGGAAGTTTTCGTAACTCGATGGTAAACTATACAGCAGCGCGATCGCGAGCACATCCGGGTTTACGTTTACCTCCATGTCTCCTAACTTATCGACCGCGTCGAAGAATTTTGCGATGTGTTCGCGCACGTCGTCGCCCTCTTCCATTCGATGTAACATGAGTTGTTTTAGGAGAGTCGCCTTCCTCGCCGGTCCCTTAGATAGATATATGGATTGTAGCTTACACCAGACCTCTCGCGATGTACTGCATCCTTTGATCGGTTTTAGTTCCGATGCACTGATTGACAAGACGATGTCGGACCTGGCTTTGCTGTCGCCTTTGTTCCAGGCTGCAATGGCGGCGGTTCTTTCGGCGTTATTTTCGATGGGCTCGGGTTTGACGCAGGTCCCGTTCACGTAATCCCATTCGTCGTTTCTGATGAGTAGCGCCTCCATATGAATCCTCCACGTGTCGTAATTTTCGCGATTAAGAGGTTCAAATCGCGAAACGTGGGTAGAGCTCATCATTTCTGCCGGATTGTAACGTTGCTTGGACGAAGACACAAAGAAAGAAAAAATGTCCACTTCGATCACACTAATCGCGTACGTAAGTCGTGTGTCCTGGGCCCATAACCTGTTGAGAGGGACAGTAGGACAGGTACTCAACTTAATCGAGAGAACGAATGCGTTTCAGTCTCAAGTAAGATTATTTAATTGTTACTCTGGCTCAAAGATACAAGAAAGAATAGAAAAGAATTACGAGACAGTCACACGCGAGTCGCGGGGTACAGACAGTAACAACGTTAGTGAAACAAAAAAGAAGAGGGGAACGTCCCGTTCCCAAAAGATAGCGACACCTAACGGCGTAATGACAGCAAGATGTCGTTACCGAACGCACTCGAGATCGTAATCCAATCAGAGAAGGACGATCTCTAACAATTCTTATTATAATATGTGCATATTTTATTTTAGAATAATAGAGAACTTTATTTGACAATTTTTTAAAATTAATTATCAAGTTGAATCGTAAATGACGAGCTGTTGAAGCATTCTGTTCATTTTATTATAGCTGCCTTCTCATAAAAATGTAAGAGAAATGCGAAATAATTAACGTGCTTCATTTTGGATGTAGCAAGCAATTATTAATCGCGTAACCAAGAAGACAATATGTTGAATATGAAAGCAGAACAAATTGACATATATTTATTCTCGCAATATTTTAGATTTTTTTTCACAAAATATCTAGATTTCTTGTCTCTAATAACCACTTCTAATATGTTTAACGAAATAAATAAATAAATAAATAAATAAATAAATAAATAAATAAATAAATAAATAAATAAATAAATAAAATTTCTGGACACGGAAGGATAAATAATTCCTTGTCCTGAAATTTCTTTTACTTATTCTTTTCATGCGTAGCTAGGTTTATACGGACAACTAGAGACGGCTGAAGAATTATAAACGTTTCTTTCCTTGAATTTTTTGTACCACCTTTCTTGTGCTTGGGGTCATAGTTAGGCGACTTCTTCTGTCGGTTCTAACAATCATGACTCATGATGAATCGTCTTTTGATGTAACTCTACCTTTTCTTCATCCAGATCTCGAGTGCAATATTATTAAATATTTTGCAAGACAGAAGAAATCTACTTATTAATTCATGAATTTAACGCTTTTGCATTTAAAGGAAAATAAATATTTGAAAAAATATTTAAAAGTAAGAATAAATTATTTATTTAAAAAACCAGAATTATTACACTTTACAATTATTTCTAATTAATTTTTTTAATTTAAAAATTTCTATAATTTTATATTTCTTTTTGTTAAATTATATATACTTCTCATTCTTTATTATATTTTATTTTATCTTCTTCATTATAATTATTTAATTGATTTCATAAATTTTACAAGTATTTGGATATTATTTTTCCAATTTCAGAATATATTTTTATTATTTAAATAATTATTTTATTTAATTATAATTTTTTAAATTTTATCTTAATTAATTGTAATATAAATTCCAAAATAATTTAATAAATAATTCTAATAATATATAATTTTTTATTTTTTATAATTTTAAAATTTAAATGATATATTTTAATAATTAAAATATCATTTTAAAAATAAAATTAAAAAACTGTATTTTTTTAATTTTTGTATACAAATTTTAAATAAATATTTTAATTAAAACTTAACACTTTTCCGGTAGTTTTCTTGAACAAAAAAATTTGTTCGCATGAAAAATGAGTTCTGAATGTAATTTTCGTTCTAGATTACTGCTTTTGAGCGGCCTCCTGCTGATGTTCGACCTCGTCACTGCGACGATTTCCGCGGAAAATCCGTTCGACTTCGAGACGGTTCACACGAGCAACGCGGCGGTCCTGAACCGACTCGGGCTGACGCCTCTCCAAATACCGGACGGTCATCACAAGAAGCGGCTGGCCGGGCCGGAGCCGCCGCGACTCGGCTCGCAGACGCGCATACATCAGCCTTACAGTCGTCGTCACAGTCACCGGGACAGCCACATCTACGTAGTGAAGCTCCCGGCCAGTCCGCCGTACTACACCATCACGAAGCCCCACAAATCCGTCAGCGATGACAAAGTGACCAAGACCGGGCCGAGCTTCCCGGTGGGGTTTCAGGGAAACGGTAAACCCGCCAAGATTTATCACTGGAATTTGCCGGTTGTCAAGAAAATTACGGAGAAGAAGCGTCTCCAGCTGAGCCAGCTGATGATGGACCAGGCGAGGAAGCGGCAGAAAACGTCCCCCGCGAATCAATTTCATCCCCGGACGCGACCGGCAAGAATAATCGTGTCAATGACGATAATAAGCTGCATCATCATGCCTACCAGAAGCCAGCGCTCAAGCACGTGAGGAATAACGACAAGAGGCTCACCTATCCGGAGAACAGTAACGATTTCAAGCTCGAATTGACGAAGAAGAACGGGAACGATAATAAGATCTACAGACTGGACGATTTCAATAACTTGCACAGGATCCACCTGGCCAACGAGTTCCACGGCTCGAAAAACATCACGCCGAAGATGAAGAAGCACCGGAAGAAGGCCGCCATGTCTTATTACGCGCCACTTGGTGTCAAGACTGGCTCCACCAGCATCCACAAAAATTTTCCCGGAAACGGCAAACCCAAGGCTTTCTACATCATGGAGAAGAGCCGCAAACCGGTGTACTATCATCCTCTCCTACCTTAATCCTTGATTGTTGTCGTGTGTAATTGTGCACAATCATGTAATGTGTTAAGTGGCCCGTGAGCCTCTGTTAGCCTAAGTAGACGCGGTATAATATTCTGTTTGCATAGGGTCAGGGGTCGCCGTTTTTTAATAGAGACAACGACAGAAGAGAGAGAGAGAGAGAGAGAGAGAGAGAGAGAGAGAGAGAGAGAAACAGAGACTTCCTTATACTTATTTGGTAGTTCTTACTTAAGGGGATGTACTGGACTTGTGTCTGTTTTATCGACAAATATTATTTTTATTTGACTATTTGTCGGCTGCACAGAATAAAAAATCCTTTACTAGAATTCAAATATTCATAATAACAAATATGGGCTACTATGTATAAAAAAAGTAAGTTAAATAATTATAATTTTTTTCTCGATTAAGTTAGGTTGACTTAATGCAAAAGACTGTTAAGGGGATGCTGACCATGACTGTTTTACCGACTTTGAGTTCAAGGGCTTTTCTTTTTATTGGCTATACTGATTGAAAAATCCTTCTCCACAATTAAAGCACTGATAATAATGAACGGAGAGTGCTGTAATTTTGTATAAAAAAAATAATAAATGTTAAAAAATTACAGTTTTTTATCGGCCTCTTGCATCAGCTCATAACAATACTTATTTAATACAAAAGTTCTGCAGTTTATTTGTGCACAAAATATGGCGCTCCCAATAGAGATGACTTGAAAGAATAATACTGAAGAATAATATTTTATTGTGAACGATTTTTCAATCTGTATATTAAATAAAAAGTGAACCTAACCTAACTTAAAGTCGGTAAAACAGAACTACGGCAGCATCCCCTTAAAAACCTGTAATTATTTAGTTTTCTTGTCTTTTTTATTTACATTTATAGTAGCCCAGATTTGTTATTGTGAATACTTCAATTCTAATAAAGGATTTTTCATTTTGTGTAGCTAATAAATAGTTAAATAAAAATAATATTTGTCGACAAAATAGACTCAGTCAGCATCCTCTTAAGATCGCGTACATTTTTTGCTGTTTCAGTTCTGTTATAGATGTATCTATCGTTATTCCTTATTTTCTGGTGAAAAAATTTATCGATTAGCGAGTATTGCACTAATGCAAGGGTGAATATCTCATTGTCGCAGCTCGTCGATAATTAACATTTATATATATATATATATATATTTAATTTTATATACACTGAAAAAAATTTATTAAATTTAAATAAGTATTTATTTCAATTATTTGAAACTAATAATTGATTTAATGTGAAAAAAATATATTTATTTGTTTCAAATAAATGATTTATAAGGCAATATTGAAATAAATATTTATTAATTTAATAATTTTTTTTTTTAGTGTACAATGTTAAATTGATAATTTATTCCATAAATCACGAAAAAAACTGAAATGGGCAACACACATTTAGATTTTTATTGCTTCATAGTTAAACTTATGCTTTACGAAGTGAATGAGCATATCACCTTTTTTCACAAGGAAAGTTATAATTATAAATCTATTAATACATATATGATACATACAAACACATATACATATATTGAATTGTTTGCATAGAAGTTTATAATGATTTTTAATAGATGATTGAATATGTCATTTAGAGAGAGAGAGAAAGCTATTTAAAGAATTTAACATATATACATAGTTTGAAAGGTAAAGTTTTAATAAAGCAAAAATTGTCGTAAAAACATTTAAGTTTTTTCACGATTATCTGCAATTTTTAAATTAAAAAGTAAAGTAATATTTTTATTACTTGATACTTTTCTATTACCGAAAAAAGGCAAAAACATGCTATTTTTAATAATAAATAATTTTTAATCAATTGTTTAATTTATTTAAGGTGATGATTTCGATCTCTGTTTCGAAATTAATAACTGATACATTTAATGAAGCATTCAAAATTGATTAATAAAAATGAGGTTTTTCTAGAACAAGAAATTTCGTATTTTTGCAGACTGCAGCAAAAAATTTGTGCATCTAGACTGAAAAATGTTCAGCATTTAAAAAATATTTTATATACATACATACATATATATATATATATATATATATATATATATATATACATGTAAAAATTATCCTTATTATCCTTTTCCTATTTTATTTATACAAAACTCATAAAAAATGCTAGGAAATGTTATATTTCTTAGATTAATTCAACCATGCTATAATGTTGATCTACTACAAAAGAAAAGCAGAGAAAAATTAACATTTTTCTACAGAGCTTAAGTCTCAAGTAGATTAGATTTTTTAATGAATCTCTGATTAAGCGCAAGTTTTGCAATTGATCGAATTTTTTAAAGTGCGAGAGAAAGAAAGAGAGAAAAAATCAGAACGATCGCATTCCGAATATTTCTTCCTACTGAAAGATCGTTTACGATATCGAATAATCAAATCCTGTGTCGCTAAGTTAAGTTAATTAACATTGTTAATTGCTAATTAACACTGTATAGTATATTTTTATAAGTATAACATGCGGATATACTATTTCTACGTCCGTCGTTCATGCATAATACATGATTGATTACATATACATATATGTAATCTGTCGAATATTTGATCTTTGAGATGGCTATTCAAAAATTCCCGAAATATGTTATGATAAATTATAAATTACAATATAATTTATTTTATTAATATTTTTCGGGAATTTTTGGCAGAATCTCGTATTTGACGTGATAGGCGGACTTTTTATGAAGACTGGACAATACATATTTTTACGTAATATGTAGATCTACGTACATTGATACGAAAATCTTTTTTACTAAATATTTTTTTCTATGTCCTTTTTCTATGTCTTTTCGTACGTATTTTATAAGTCGTAGATAAGAATGCTCGATTGTAATAAGGTATTCAGTATAACGAATAAAAATATTTATAATCCTTTGTATACATAGCTTGTTTCAGCTTTTTAAATATCCATATACACATTTTTTATTTCGTATATATTTTTCATTAATATATATATTAGTGGTTTTTTAATTATGGATAATATTTCGAGAAATTCTTGTTTTCTGTCAAAATGACAATTTATTTTTCATATATGTAGATATATTATTAATTTTTTATGAGGTAAAATTATAATTAATAATTATTTTTAATTATTAAATTGTATTAAATAATTATTTTTAATTATTAAATTATATTTAATAATTATTTTTTAATTATTTAATTATAATTAATAATTAAAAATAATCTCATAAAATTTGATGCGCTTTAGTAAATATATAGGTGCTTGTGATTTTTGACGTAAATTTTTTTTTAATAGATCATAAACTGTAAAATTCACATTAATTTGAGGCAATTTTATCAAGCAATATCTCTGATAAACTCTACGTGAGAAGTTTTTCAATTTCTTGGTATTAATTGAGTTATTTGAGGTAATAGAATTTTATTAATTAAGATCCGTCTAATAAGATTATTTCTTCCTGCTCTTATTTGAATTATGATTGTTTCTTCATTGATCATAAACTTGCGATGCATTAAAGTGTATTAATTACAATTGCGGTAATTGAACGAACTGTTTTTATAATCACGACATGGGATAATAAAGTTACAGATCAAATTACATTATTAAATGCAAATTGCAGCTATTAAGAAGAGCGAACCGGTCTTATCTCTTCATTTGATATTAACAATAATCAGAGTTTTTCATCAATGTTTAATATACAGATTTAAGATTAATAAGTAATCAATATTCTAGCATTTTAATCCTGTAATCTCTAATATATTTTTTTAAACTAACTTTATTGCTATTCTTTTATAAAATTTCATTAACCACAAATTTATGCATAAAAAATTAATCTCCTCAGTGCATAAATATTCATTAAATAATAAACTACTTAATTAAATATGGATAACTCACTAATGTTTTATGCATATATGTATATTGTCATAAAATCTATTAAATTGCAACATATATTTTATATTTCGAAAAAAATGCAACACCCATAAACTAGCTTTATTCGATCAATAAGAAGTGTTGAAAAAAATGTTAAGGTGCGGAAATGAATTAATGAAACTGCTTAGTTCTATTGATATAATTTTATTCGACTGCTTTGTACCTGAATGAGAACCATTTGTAACCCGTTACAACGCATTTACTTTAATATCTACAAGCAACAGCTTGTGCCGACGACGAGTCGCTCGCCTGCGAACCACATTTTTTGGTAATTGACCGTATAAATTTGAAATACTAAGGAGAGGACATCTTTTTGCAGCGGCCAACCGCTCTTTTACATTACTCCCGTAACGTGTTTTACGTGTAATAACCATGAGCAAGAGCCTTTTATTACCGAACGATTACACAGATTACATCCATATATGAATTTTTTTTTCGTGACAAAGATTCAACGACAAAGTATACATTAACCGGCCAAAGTGAGAATTATATCATTATCAATATTTCAATCTTTTCGTCCCCTTTAACAAAATTCGTAATTGTATTTATTATTATATCAAAACATATCTTGTTAGAAAATAATTACTGAGTTGATAGACTAAAAATATTGAAAAAAGATAGGATGTATTATATATAAAACTAAATAAAGTATAATTAAAAAATAATATATATAATTAAAAAATAGAATAATTAAAAAAAATATATCGTTAAAAATAATACACACAACATATGTAATCTAGTTTTTAAAACCACTTTTACATCAAATATTTCACATATTTACAAATTTTTAATTACATTCGTGTCGTATTTAATAAATATTCTGTAATATATAAAAACTAAAACAACAAGTTTAAACAATATAAATTTCTAAAATTCTCTAAAATTATTTAATTTACTTATATATGATGTGTCACACACATACATATATATATCATGAATATAAACGCACAGAACATAATATACACATTTGCACGTATATATATATATATATATATATATATATATATATATATAAACATTATAAAATATATTGACAATAAGTTATTTTTAAAATTGCACATTTGGTACATTTTACAAAAGGCTTATAAAATTATATATTAATTATTGAAAATTATTGCGCAATACATACAGAATCGCAGACTTATCATCCTTATAAATAATTCACATTGCCACACCAATAATAATAAAATAATATAAATAATGCAATTCTATGTCGAAATTTCAAACGTTATTGTAAAAAAATGAGAGCTATAAAAAAACACTTTTAATATAATTTTTAACAAGCTATCGCACAGAAACAATTTAATAAATTCTCCATTTAACTTGGAGAACAATTATAATGTTTCTCTCTGAATGTCATATTTTTTAACTTGTTTCTATATACGATTAATTAAATTTCAATAATTATGATTTTATTAATATAACATAATAATAATAATAAATATAACAATAATATGTAAATTACAAATATTATTGCGTTAATTATAGGCAACACAGAACTTCATTCAGCATAATTTTATCATAGATAAAATTGGTTTCATCAGATCGATTCAAGCTTGACAAATAACTATATAAAAATTCACTCAAATTCATAGTCCAATTATTTATCACGCGTGTGTTTAAATTAAATATATCATTAGACGTGACCAGATATACGAATTCAATAATACCCGTCCTGATAATCGGGATATCGGATTGACTGGTGCATCGAGGTGGATCCGTCCGGCCCAAGTAGGTACAAACTCGTCAATTTGCCATTGAAGGTATAAGGATCCATATCGAGGCTGTTAAGCGCATCATCCGGCCTCTTGGGCAATTTGTGATTCGCCGGCCACCGATAAATCGACGTGGGTTTGCCGTTAGTCACAAAATCAGCTGACAGAGTGTCCAAGTTCGTAATGGGGCTGTCAGCTGGTCTCTGGTTAGGCTTCTTCTGCCACTGGTAGACCGAAGTAGGCTTGCCGTTGCTCACGAAGTCCACGGGCACCTTGATGAAGGGATTGAGGGTCTGCTGAGAGGTCGGTTGAGGCCGAGTTGCGGGTCTTACGTAGGGTAGCTGAAGCAATTGGGTTACGAGAGGTAATTGGGGCTTTAAGGCCGCGGTGGAATACGTGGGTGGTTGCGAGATGTAGCCAAAACCGGGCACAAACGTGTACGGAGTGGGTGGGAGTCGGATGTAGAAGATGTTGCTCTCCTGGTACCTCTTCTGAAACTCCTTCGACAGTCGGTCCTGCCTCGCGACCTCTGAATCGTCGTTATAGTCCACTTCGAACGGGGATGGTATTCTCGGATAGTGGGATGAGACCCGCGACACTAAAGGATAGTCCAAAAGTAGAGCCTTGTGCTTCCTCGTGCCTCCTTGCGTCACTAACTTTTCATTGGCCTCGTTGTCGCGTGTCTCGGAATCTTTGAGACGACTCGTCGCACGCTTCAGGCTCGACAGCGTTTTATTTAGATTCTCCACCATTTTATCCGCTTTACCCGGACTCTCCGTAGGAGGCTGCAACAGCATTTTTTGGACCTGAAGGGCCAATCGATCGTCCAAGGTATCTTGAAAAGGATTCGCCGTTGCAAATCCGATTATAGGTATCAACAAGACCAGTACCATCGTCGTATAGTATCTGAAAAGGAACGAATTATTTTTGTAAAATCCTTTAAGTATCAGTCGCGAATTGTTATTTTTTTTATCTAAAAAACACTATTTTCTGTATTTTATATCAATAATTGGCAATTTTAGATATATTTGATCTAAAATTTAGATATATTTTATAGAGAGCAATTTTTAAGTAAGATCCCAGGTAGCAAATTGACACGTTATTTTGACGCCATTGACGTCACAAAAACTATTTTCTGTATATTATATAAATAATTGGCAATTATACAGATATATTTTATCTCCTACATAAAGCAATTTCTAAGTAAGATCCCAGGTAGCAAACTTCTTTTGACATCTAATGACGTTATTGACACATAATGACGTCATTTTGAAGTTTAATGACATTAGCTACCTGGGACATGTCCAAGATATCAGCATCGCGGTGTTTTTCCTCTTTTTAATTAAACCTGGAAATGATTTTATTTTCGCGAAGAACGCAGAAGAAATCTATATTCGCGTGTCCAATTAAATATCGCGCAAATGTCATTCTAGATCAGCTGAGGCAGCAAACGAGCCAAAACAAATTGTTCGCTCGTCGGGGTGGATGATTTTCTTGGAGGAGAGAGAGAGAAATACGCGTTTCCTGTCTAGCCGCACTATTATCAGGGCTCTCCTTATTCTCACTCGCAATTGTACGTTTGACGTCGAATAAATCACGTCCCTATGTAGAGTACGAACAAGAAAAAGGCAGACAAGAAAGGGAGACAAACGTGATGCGACGGCATTTGGACGCTTCGCGCTCCACGGAGGTTTCTTCTTCCTTATCTTCTTCTTCTTCTTCTTCTTCTTCTTCTTCTTCTTCTTCTTGTTCTTCCTCTTCTTTTTCCTCCGGTGGTGGTGCGAAGCGAATGAAACAAGAGCACCAAGAATAGTAATTGAAAGCGAGTTATAAAATCGTCGAGTCACGCATTCCGCTCGCGAAGTCTTTCCGTGCTCGCTGGAGGACCTTGTAGAAGGTCGGGTAACAGAGCGCATAGGAATTGACCCTCTCGCATTCACCCTTTCGTAGATATTATTTTTAATTAATCAGGAGACAATGCTGTATATAGATATATTTTTTTCTATTCTGCTCTTCGTACTTTCGCAAGAATAATTATAGTTTATATATTTTTGTCTACATTGTATATGCTTTTATTATATATATTATATATATATTTTTTTTAATATATTTATTTTTTTATATTATATATCATTATATTATATTATTATATTATAATATATTATTATATATAATATATGTATATGTTATATATTTATATTATAATTGCATTATATTAATTATACATATATTATATTGTATATATTATATTAATATATTATATACATATAATATATATGTATATATTATATATTTATATTATAATTGTATTATATTAATTATATACATATATTATATTGTATTACATATATTTTATTACTATATTATATGTATATTATACTAATAATTTTCTAGAAGTAAAATACTAATTAGATTTAACCAGATTATCTCAGCTGTTCTCTTTCTTCCTTCAACGTCCCATTTAGCATTTTTGTTCTTTTGCCGAGTACATACACATTTGCGATATTTATATTTCTACTCTATGCTTAGGCTTATCTATACTTATCGCTTTTTGCGATCTGGAAAATGGTAGCTTTTTCATCGGTTATTAGTTTTTCATCACTCAATGATCGCTCGATGGAGGAATCCCTCGACAGATGTTCATTGTATAGATTAGTAGCTTCGTCATTATATGTACATTAACTATTAACAGCCGCGGCGTTATATGTCGTTATTCGCTAATCTAATTTGCTCCAGCAAGTTCGTCTAACTTCATTAATCGTTCAATGACTCGTACAGTCAACCTTTTAGACTTGTTATATATTATTAAAATATCATTTCCATATATTTATAAATTTTAAGACTGTGATTTTGCTCCGCATTTAAAACTATATAACTTTCCAATTATATCATACTTAAATACTGTTTCATATATATATATATCATATTATCAGTTTACTATAGATGAAAATAAATAATATGAAATTATTGACTAAATTTGAAAAAAATTGTACAGCTTGTAAAATTATACAGCTTTTTCTTTTTATATAATTATATATATTTTCTCAGAATAATAAAAATAAAGGCTTTTAAAATTAGACTTATATTTGTATATATGTGTATATTATATTTCAATTGTGATGTATTTTTTATGTATAAACGATTTAAATTTTATTGACACAAAAGATATAAATAATTTTAGTAGAGAAATTATTATTTAGATTCACTTTTAAAAATTTTTAAATGAAAAAAGGTAATATTGTTTTAAATAATGTATAATATATGCATATAAGCATAATATGTAATATATATGTATATATTTATTGACTTTTCGTAAAAAAATCGTACAGTTATATTTAAATTAAATAATTGTAACATATATGTGAACAAAAAATAAAATATGTAAAAAACTTTGAAAAATTCATATTCCATTGATTACTTATTATTGATACATACAACGTTAAACGTAGTTTGTATTACATTATTTAAATGCTGACCATTTTTCGAATCTAGATAATATTAATTTTTTATATAATTATCAATATTATCGACAAATGAGAATTATATATTGTAAATATTTTATCATCAGTCGATATTTAACTGATTCCATGTAAAAAATGTAAAAAATAATAATATTAATAAATTACATATAATATACGTTTTAATACACATACAAAAGCCATCAACTTTTTTTGAATAAGTTTAGAAATTTTATTTTTTTCTTCTAAAATATAAATTAAACAAATAAATAAATATAATTAAACAATTAGAAAAGTTTTTCAAGCAACTTCATAAATGAGTGAAAAGAAATAATACGATATTTCTGGGAAGAAACTCTACATACATGTATATATAATTATATATTTATAAAACTATATACGACATATTAAATGTGATATCCATTTATCTCTAATAGTCTCTATTTATTTTATAACTGTTAATTTCGTATTTATTAATTAATATGTATCAGATTATATGTTAATTAATAATCCCAGTAAAACTGTCATCGAAGAAATTTTATCGATTCTTAAGTTATTGCGATACCTATAACATCTATATAAAAATAAAATACGATTATACACATCCGGATTTTCTATATATTTTATATTTTTAACTATTGTTTCTTCGCTGCATATATATATATATATATATATATACCCAAAATTAATTTTATTTAATGTTGTACACAAATGACACTTCTGATTTTAGTTTACATAATATATGTAGACATTTCATTTTTGTGTATAGAAAAATAATACACGTATATTGAAATGTTTAATTAAATTCGATATGCAACATATATGACACACTTTTACTTTAATTTTTCGTCGCTTTACTTAGCTGCTATCTTATCGCGTTACGTATCGTACGCATTGCGCGTATACGAACCGTTATTTCTCTGAAACAAAGCACCGGTACATAGATATATGTACGTACATACATGTATCACTATGAGTACTACATAATAATGTGGTATTTCGTATCGCAAAAGGCGAGGCGAGCATCATAAATATTCACAATCAATTTCGCGAGCGAGAGGAAGAATGAAAAAATATTTATTTTAAATAAAAAAAATTAATTAATTAATATAAATACCTGTTTATGTTTATTTTTGTATTTAGTTGATAAGAAAATTCTTTTATATATATTTATTTGTTTCAAATAAATGATTTATAAGGTAGTATGAAAATAAATATTTATTAATCATTTATTTGAAGCTAATAATATTGATTTGATGTAAAAAAATTTTTATTTTAAATAAAAAAATAATTAATTAATTAATTAATATAAATATTTTAATAAATATTAATATAAATATTATAATGAAATTATATTTGTGAAATAAAATAATATAAAAGTTTTATTTATTAAATTATAATTGAATTAATTAAATGTAATTTCGAAAATTATTCTGCAAAATTAATTATATTAATAAATAGTATTCTATAAAATTTAATAAAAATATTTTAAGTAATTTGAAATTAATACATCTATAGGAAAAAATTTTTAATGCAAAAATATAATCAAAATAAAATATATAGAAATACATGGCTGAAAATGATCTTCTTAGATACTTTTCATAAAGAATAAAATGACTCCAAACTGTGTTAATTGAAGAATATAATTAATTCATTAAGGAATTTTTGCGAAGTAAATAATCTAATAATATTTAAGGATACGTGTTACTAATGCATTATTTAATTTTTGCAAAATATATTTTTCCAATCAAATTTAATAAAGAATATAATTTTTTAATAATCTATGAAATATGTATATTGAACGTATGTGATAAAAATAATATAAAGGAATTTTTGTACAAAATCATATATTGAAACTGGACGAACGATTAATCTTAATTTCCTCGATTAGATATATTAATAGAAAGTCTGCAATCATAAATATGTAATGCATTTGCATATGAATAGATATACTGAAAATTCTTGAAATTGAAACTGATTCTGGTAAAGGTTCTGATATTTTAGATATTAATGAAAAAATTATAATATATACATAAAATAAAAGTATAAAATTGTTTAAATTCAAATCTCTTTGTTTTCTCTCATTTTTACAGAAGTATTTATAATAAACAATTAAAGAAAATTGAATAAAAATTGCATGTCCAAAATGAGTATATTTGATTTGACATAAAATCGAAAATTACATTAAAAAACATTGTCTGTATTAAATTTTATTGATGCCATTAATTCTTTTAAGTACAATGGTTTGTGAAAGCGCGTATTTATATAGAGGACATTATCATAAAAATATTCATAAAAAGGAGAAAGGAATTTTCGAATATATTCGAATTATCTATTTATTCTCTCTCTCTCCCTTATTTGACTTTAACATCCTTATTTCTACACAAAGATATTCATATATGGAGCATATATGTAAGAATCTTATAAAGATATCACATAAAGATTAAG